AATCAGTTGCAGGAACAACAAATTCTACACTTGAGGGAAGAACAACGGGAAAGCTTCAGAAGGGAGAAATTTTCTCAAAATAACAAAAATGATGATAATTCTATGTATGAGGGTTTCCGGAGTCCATCCAGTAACCAACCAGCCCACCGTTGTTGAGTCCCTCTGCCTCGCAGCAACCCTCCAGGTCAGAGTAAAACTGCAGCCTGGGGTCTCTGAGGCTGGGCTCCGTGCAGGGGCAACACGTTTCATCTTTCTTCCATAACCTAACCCGCAGGGCAGGGAGAGCCTCTGCCTAATGAAGGAAGCTGTAAGTGATATTTGCTTCACTAGGGAAGATGTGAAGACATTACTGGGTTTGTTTTCAAATCTTCAATTCCAGCACATTACTTTACCAAATAAAGCCCTGACTACCAAATAATAATCATGAATGAGTGGATGAACAGATGGATAGACATAGATACACATACATACATGTATTCAATCAAGTTGTTGCAATGATGAAACACGATAAATATATTAAAAGCACTGGGAAGATTTCAGTTGACTCCATTCATTAACGTTGAGTTGATCTGACTCACAGTGATCTTGGAGCACAAAGCAGAGCTACCCCACAGGGTTTCCAAGGCAGAGAGCTGCGCCATGCTGTGTTCCTCTGGGTACTTTAGAGAAACAAATCCACAGAAACTCATGTATAAGAGAGAGTTTTATATAAAGTGTAAGTGCACATCAAGAAAACATCCGAACCTAGTGCTGCCCAAGCTCACAAGTCCAATAGTCCAACATTAACCCATATGTCCGACACCAATCCACAAAGTCCTCCTCCATCTCACAAAACAGACACAATGAAGCCGACTGCAGGAGGAAAGCCGAGTCAGTGAACATGTAAGCATCTCAGCACTGGCAGGGGTCTCCACACAGCTGCTCCAGCACCCAGGGCTGCATCGGGGTAGGTCCATGCGGCTTCTCCTCAGGGATGTCTTGCAGGAAATGAGCCTTGCCAGCTGAATCGGGGAACTGACTAAGGCAGCTGCACCCTGGTCTGACCATTAGAAAGCAAGAGACCCGAGAACTAGAAAGGCGAGGCTCACCGAGACATTTATCTCTCCGCCCTTCAATTAACCCCACGTGTGTTTATCGGCCAAGTTGGCACAATAAACTAACTACCTCACATGCCTTTCCTCTGAGGAGCAGCTGAGGAGCTCAAACACCGACCTTTTGGCTAGCCGTTGAACTCTTAACTCTGTTCCCTCAAGGCCTCTTTCTGTCTCTAGATCTGTACGTTCTGCCGTTGGATTCCTGAGTAGTTTAAATGCAATTTCTCATGTTTCATTTTCTTTTTAACCTAAACCCAAACTCAGTTGATCCCTTCTCACAGATTCATTTTATTTATACAAAATGTGATTTTAAGCACTGAGGCAGCAGGGAACTTCTGCTAAAGTAGGGACATCTGATTTTCTTTGTCAGGCACCAGTGGTAATGGTGTGGCCTTTAAGACTGTTTTTCCATAAAGAAATTACCAAAGATGAGTAGCTTGTCATAGGGATTTGCATACTTCACACAGCTGTCGACCCCACATATGCTAATACATGGAAAAAGTGAATAAACTTGAATTTATGATCTGTGGGAGGAATGGTAACTCCAGATTGCCACTAAAATAGACAATATATAAAAAATCAGCATTATACATGCAATACATATTTATGTATATATAATCTATGTATATAATGTATTCATATATACTATAAATAAGTATATATATATATATATACACACACATGGTAGACACTAACAAGGAGACTGGGTAGTGTAGTAGTTATGCATTGGGTTGTAATCCACTAAGTCCTAAGTTTAAAACCACCAGCCACCCCTCAGGAGACAGAAGGGACTTACTATTCCCGTAAAGAGTTACAAACTCACAGGGACAGTTCTACTGAGTCCTATAGGGTCACTACAAGTTGGCACTGACTTGATGGCAATGAGTTTGGTTTTGGGTTTGATAGACCCATTTTAAGCAGCAAGAAATTATGTAAAATTGTTGGTCAAAATTTACTAGGCCTATCCACATTTATTTTCTTATTTCTCCCCACACAAAACTTATGTTCTTTCCATATTTCACTGATCAACAATTAGAGGCAGTACAGAGCATTACTATGAATAATTTTTTCTTCTGGTAAAACTTTATTGGTGAATTGGGTGAAATTATACAGAGCAAACCAGTTTTCCAAGTCAGCAATTCATACACATTTCGTGTCATGCTGTTGATGACAATGCCACTGTAATAATATCACTTCTCTCCTTTCCTCTCATCTTCTGCCCTCTTATTTCTTTCAGACAGGGACAGATCAATGGTGACACCAGATAGATGCTCACCAGTTTCTAAGACCCAGTTGCTACTCACCAAGGCAGGATGTTGAACGTTGTCTGTATGGACTCTGTTCTGCCGATTAGTGTCTCTTGAGACCATGGTCCCTTAAGATGGGTGGTCATGCCTAGGAAGCTGTCATAATTTTGTCCCCTGTATATGTCACCATACTCATGGATATATTTTCCAAAGGACTAAGCACACATGTACAACTATCTTCTATCAAGCATAGATAGGTAGGTAGGTAGGTAGGTAGGTAGGCAGGCAGAGAGATAGATGTGGGTGAGGTGTAGGTTAGGTGTTGATATAAGTATGGGTACAGCTATATCCATGGATACAACTCCATTCTCCCTCCCACACTTATTCATCCTGTATTTCTATCCATACGCCCATTAGTAGATCACCATTTTTACAGGATTATGAATATAACTCTACTACCTTTCATTTCTCCCAGGGCATTCTCTTGTCCCCATAATTTTTTTCCTACCTCCTCTTATTGTATATTGCCTTCTCCTTCATCCAAGTTCAAACATCTCTACTCATAGGTTCCCAAACTTATTTGACCTAGTGACTCCTTTTCAGGAAAAATTAACCAGCACCCCCCTGCCAATGAAAAACTTTTGTAGCCCATAATCCAGGACAGGTGTAGGTATCTGCTTGTGATTATTAGGTTTAATGTGCCAACCAAGCCTACTACATAGGAACATGTGGACGGAGTTTAGTCGGGTCGCAGCTTGATTGGGAGAGACCCAGATAAATACTTTGCTCTGCCACGTCCTATCCCTTTTTCTCCCTGGTAATTTGACCAGTGCTCTGCTGCCTGAGCTAGTCCTTTGCCTCAACTGTGTGCTGAGCTATTGTGGGCCGAGCAACCTATGGATTCGTGTCGCCTTGCTGTGTGTGCAACACTTGTGGTTCCATTGAAACCTGCTGAGTCACGCTACTTGAAGATCCTAAGGACCGCTTCACTATGCTCCCACACTTCAGCTGTGCCTCAACTTCCCATCTTCCTGCTGTTGCTGCCCAACCCCATGTGTCTTGCCTGAGGGCAGATGCCACTGTCTGCAGCCTAGATTTTGGACCGGCAGCCCATGTGAGTTGAAGGACCTTCAGTATATTAACTGTTTCACTTTCTATTGCTGTGTGGACTAATTAGCTGTATATATATATATATATATATATATAATCATAAGTGTCCTGGTTTTTGTTTCTCTGGAGAACCCTGTCTAACAGAAAGCTTTTCAAAACCACCAGCTGCTCCTTGGGAGAAAGACAGGGCTTTCTACTCCCATAAAGAGCTACAGTATTTAAAAAAAAAAAAAGAATTACATTCTTAGAAACTCTACCCTGTTCTATAGGGTCACTGTGAGCCAGCATCAATTTGATGGTAGTGAGGGATGTTTTATTTTTGGTTTTCATTTTGTGGTTGATGTTTGGTTTGGGATCATTTCCTGGTAACCATCAATGAACTTTTCTTGACTTTTTATAATAGTGGTCTCATATAATATTTGTCTTTTTGTGGTCTGATTTCCCCCAGTACAATAATGCCTTCCTGGATTATCCATGTGATGAGGTGTGTCAGAGATTTGTTATTATTCCGTCATTGTGTGCCGTGTTCCATTGTGTTTGTGTACTATAGTTTGTTTATTCCATCTTCCATCGATGAGCATTATTTTATGTCAGAGAATATTCTATATAAGGGAAATAATGAGAATAAATTAAGCCCATGTTGACTAAATGAATTAAACCCCTCCTTTGGAAAAAAAAAAAAGTTTAAATGGACCTAAGAGATCACCTAGGATCTGTTATTGATGTCTGTCCAATTACCTAATTAAACCTCTGTGCTTGCTCCTCTGTAACATGATCAGCTGAATCTAACAAATCACTAAGTTTTTTTCTAACTCTAGCACCAGATGATTCTGGAGTGTTCCACCAACCCCCTGACATGTTACCAACATCCTGTCTCCATCTCTGCTGCCCTGAGCTCTTGAATCAATAAAAACACCACGGGGAAACTAGTAACTGTAGATATACTGAAGTCTGGAAATAGACATACAAAGTATACACACACACACACACACACACACACACAGACATACAAAGCTTATGCAAACACCAATTCAATATGGCCAGTGTTGTCCAAAAGTTGTCCAGGAGGCATAGTGGGAGATGCTCACCAGATCCACACAACAGCAAGGTGTGGAGGGTTTGGGTAGTGTCCAGGCATAAGTAATCTGAGGTTTAAAATGTTTTTGTCATATCTGGAAATTATCTATATTTTTATTTGCTTCAAGCTTGTCCTTAAATGAAATTTTAGTTCACTTTTTCCAATTAGCCAAATTCTACGCAACCCATAAATTTGTTTGTGCTAGTTTTTTTTTTTCTCTCTTTTTTCCTCTATTAGAAATTAAATTCCTTAGGATAAAATAAGAGACCGGTCTGCCAAGTACCCTCTGGAGGTGTGTGCCTTAGTGGTACACATACCAACTTTTGGAAAACACTGGAATATTTTATGAAAAGCAAAGATATACATTCTTTTTCTAGAATATAATATTTTGTGCCTGAAGAGGTCTACTATACTAATATCTTTGTTGCATTTATAAGGATAATCATTGGTAAATAATGGTAAACAAAAGAATACCACCGTTATTGTTTTACTAGAAGGACAGAGTCTGATCCATGCATTATAGTTTAAATGGGACAATGGGACCATCCGTTAATGGACAGAGTTTTTGTTTTACATGTGAATTAGCATAAATTCCACTCTCATCATGCCAATGATTGATGCCAAATCTCTTGGAACCATCTAGATCTGTGAATTGAGAACGGCATTTTCTGTGCACTATTGAATAATCATCTTCCTGGTGACAACCCTAAAAGGGAAAAGAGAGAGAGAGAGAGAGAAATAATACTGAATAACTGAAATCTTAAAAACAAAAAGGAGTGATCTGCAAAAGTTGATCTTTATTATTTTTATTATGACCAAGATTAATTTTTAAGCAATGAATTGACTTAGTAGCCCTATACAGCAAATGCCTCAATGAAAACAATAACTACTACATGTATAATTAATTACTTCTGATCCTGAAAGAAGAATCACGTTCATGGACGATTTATTTCTAAATCTAAAAATGTTAAGTCATTCACACATGCAAAATTTTCCTAGGCCACAATCATACAGCAAAGAACAATTTAAATTTTATGACCATTTAAACTCACTCATTGCCATTGAGTTGAATTCAACATATAAGCATCCTGTAGGGCAAAATAGAACTGTCCCTAGGGACTTCCAAACTGTAACTCTTATGGGCATAGAACGCCTCATCTTTCTCCCTCAGAGCAGCTGGTGGGTTTGAACTGCTGACTTTGTAGTTAACAACCCAATGTGTATATAACCCACTACACCATCAAGGCTCATAAATAAGACAAAAATAATTACCATCTAACTACCACTTAACACTTTTATTAAAATACCATTTCTGACAAATGATAACTTGCATTATATCTTCAATAATTGCTACAAAGTCATGCCTCCCAGGAAAACATAAATGATAAATCTTAAGATTCAGTCCCATAAGACATTAACTCTCCAAAGCTATTAAACAACGAAAGAACACCAAACAGTTCTGTCATGGATTGAATGTGTCCCCAGTAAAATATGTATCAACTAGGCTGGGCTACCATGTGTCCTTTAGACCCAGGGTCCCTTCGCAGAGAAACTCCTAGACCCAGGGGAAGATTGATGACAAGGCTGTTGCCCCAGAGCTAAGAGAGAGAGAAGCCTCCCTCTGGAGCTGTCACCTTGAAGTTGGACTTCTGACTTTCCAAACCGTGAGGAATTCAGTTTCTTTTGTTACATGTACCTGCTTTAGTATTTCTGTTATAGCAACATTAGATAACTAAGACAAGTTCTAATTTAGACTGGCTTTATTCTCGTGAAAAGTTTAACCAGATGGTCAACTTGGATAATCATTATCTTGTCTACCATTAATTGAATGCCTACTACGGTCTATCAGCAAAGTACTTGATTGCTTATATTTTTAAATCCATTACTGTGCTCTGTGGTGGGAACTATTGCTCCCACTTTACAGATAAGAATATGAAATAAGTTGTTTAAGCTCTTAGAAGGAGAGAATTTAAATAATGCCAACAGTAAGTGATTGAGCCAAGATTTCCAGCTAAGTCAGCCTGACAGTCAAACCCATTGTCCCTCCAGGATCTTAATTATTAAACTCCTAATTAAGAGATGAAGAGCAGTATAAACCATAAAGCCCCCCCCCCCAGCTACATAATATTCATGTCACTGCTCTTTAGTTTAGACTTTTGCTTTTCTGTGGTTGGAGCCTGTTTTAGTTTAGTTTAGTTTTGTCTTATTTGGGGACAGGTAGAGATCCGTTGAAGGAGATTTGAGAACCACTGTCCCTTCACGGAGAGACAGGATTTTCTCATTCCTATACCAGCTGGCTCAAGAGAAGAGGGCTTTGACTGTCACGCCATCCCATCCCCTCGCCCTCTCACAGGCTGAGAAGCCTTCTGAGGTGAGTGACAAGGCTAGTGTGGCGTTTAGCAAAGTCATTCTAGCAGCATGTGTGAGTCTGGGTACTTTAGAGAAACAAATCCACAGAAACTCACATATAAGAGAGAGTTTTATATAAAGGTTAAGTGCACATCAAGAAAACATCCCAACGCAGTGCTGCCAAAACCCACAAGTCTAACGTTAGCCATGAACACATATGCCCAGAAACCAATCCATGGCAAGGGTTTCCACCCTGCTGCTCCAGCATCTGTGGGATTATAAAGAGACTTTTCCCTAGCTTTATCTCCCCCAAAGACATGCCAAACATTAGGGGCTTATAGGCCCCGCTCCCTGCTGTTAAGGGCAATGGGCTACTTCTCTAGAGGCCTGCAGTCCTTGATGTGGTTCCTGTAGGTGGGGTTTACACCCTACTGATAATGGTGCCAGGATACAGGCCAAACCTACTCAGAGACAACCAAAGTTAGGCTGCCATCCTGTATCTAGGTTCTGCCCATCTTGTCACATGTATACCCCCAATCCCTCCTCTTCCTATTGCATGTATGTCCCTAGATGGTCCCCCTCTCATTGCTGTATAACCTATAGCGCAGCCCCTTCCTGTGAAGTATGACCCTACCTGTAATTGGTGGGCTTGCACTCCCCCCAAAGGTATATAGGCTGGGTTAGCAATAAAGATCTCTCTGCTCCTCCCTTGACCTCTCCTCGGTTCCCCCTCTCCTCTCCCATCCTTGTTCCCCTGTTCCCTTTCCCCGTCTTCCTTCCCTTCCCCCTCTCTCCACGTGGACCACCAAGCGGGGCTGAGGTGAGCATGCTACCATGAAATGTGCCTGACCCCATTATTTCAATCTCTTTTATCTCTCATGCTCTCGATGACTTTGATATAATATTATATATCTCAATCGTACAATTGTGCCTATCGAACCTGTGATTAGTGGTGGGGGACTGGCACCTTTCCAGCCACAAGCACCCAAGGCTGCATCCGGGTAGGTCCATGTGGCTTCTCCTCAGGGATGTCTTGCAGGAAGTCAGCCTTGCAACCCAAAGCAGGGGACTGGCTAAGACAGCTGCACCCTGGTCCGACCATCACAAAGCAAGAGACTCGAGAACTCGAAAGATGAGGCTTGCAGAGCCATTTATCCCTCCGCCCTTCAATTAACCCTACATGTGTTTATCGGACAGGTTGGCACAATAAATTAACTACCTCACAGCACAAGATACCAAAGACTGGTGGCTAAAAGTGCTAAAATCCAGAGTTGTGCTGTGAATTAGACCTTGACAACCTATATGTCCATTACTGTGTAACTGAATAAACAACATTTGGTGCATCTCTATAATGAAATATCAGTCATTAAAGATAAATACTGGTGTACGGTACAATAGTGATGACCTTGAACATGTTAAGCTAAATACAAGAAGAGGAGACCAAACAGACAAATCCATGGAAATAGACCGTAGATTGGCGGCTGTCAGAGGATGGGAGGGGGGCTCATTGAGAAATGACTGCTAATGAACCTGAGGCTTCTTTTTGTTTTTTATTAAATATTTTTGTTTTATTTATTTTTAATCGTTTTATTTGGGGCTCATACAACTCTCATCACAATCCATAATACATCAACTGTGTAAAGCACATTTGTACATTCATTGCCTTCATCATTCTCAAAACATTTGCTCTCTACTTAAGCCCCTGGCATCAGGTCCTCATTTTTCCCCTTCCCTCCCCACTCCCCCCTCGCTTATGAACCCTTGATAATTTATAAATTATTTTGTCATATCTTGCCCTGACGTCTGCTTTCACCCACTTTTCTGTTGTCCATCCCCCAGGGAGGAGGTCATATGTAGATCCTTGTAATCAGTTCCCCCTTTCCACCCCGCCCTCCCTCCACCCTTCCAGTATCACCACTCAGACCACTGGTCCTGAAGGGATCATCTGTCCTGGATTCCCTGTGTTTCCAGTTCCTATCTGTACCAGTGTACATCCTCTGGTCTAGCTATACTTGTAAGGTAGAATTGGGATCATGATAATGGGGGGGAAGAAGCATTTAAGAACCAGAGGAAAGTTGTATGTTTCATTGTTGCTACATTGCACCCTGACTGGCTCATCTCCTCCCTGAGACCCTTCTGTAAGGGGAGGTCCAGTGGCCTACAAATGGGCTTTGGGTCTCCATCTGCACTCCCCACCTCATTCACTATGGTAAGATTTTTTGTCCTGATGATGCCTGATACCTGATCCCTTCAACACCTCGTGATCGCACAGGCTGACCAGAGGCTTCTTTTGGGGGAGATAAGAGCATTCTGAAATAAAAAGTGATCTTGGTTACATAACCTGTGAATATACTAAAAAAACACTGATTTATATGTTTTAAAATGGTTGGTTTTATGGTATATGAATTATATCTCAATAAAGCTGTTATTTAAAAGAAGGAATGGATGAGAGGAAGCAGTTTTGAAATTAAGAAGACTAGTTAAGAGACGTTGGCCTATTACCATAGGTCATATTGGAGAAGACAATTGAAAGAGACCAATCTCGCTTTTAACTCTATTCAAGAGGGCTTCATAAAGTTCACAGACAAATGGAATTAAAAGACAAGGAACTTGGGTCTTTTCTTTCTTTCCTGTCTTTTTTATGACCCTTTGCTTTCTTCATGGATGCTGTTCTTGATGTCCTCCCACAGCTCATCAGGGCTGCTGTCGCTAGTGTTCGGTGGGTCAAATTTGTTCTTGAGATGTTCTCAAAAGTCAGGTGGAAAGCACTCAGGGTCGTATTTTGCTTCTTATGAGCTTGTTTTCATTTTCTTAGCTTCAGCCTGAACTTACATAGGAGCAATTGAACTTACATAGGAGCAACTGAACTTACATAGGAGCAATTGAACTTACATAGGAGCAACTGAACTTACATAGGAGCAATTGAACTTACATAGGAGCAACTGAACTTACATCGGAGCAATTGAACTTACATAGGAGCAACTGAACTTACATAAGAGCAACTGAACTTACATCGGAGCAATTGAACTTACATAGGAGCAATTGAACTTACATAGGAGCAACTGAACTTACATAGGAGCAATTGAACTTACATGGGAGAAACTGATGATCTCTTCCACAGTCAGCCCCTGGCCTGATTGTAGCTGCTAATACTAAGCTTCACCATGGTCTCATCCCACAGATGTAATCCATTTGATTTCTGTGTATTTCATCTGAAGAGGTCTACATATATAGTCACCATTTCTGTTTACAACTCTTTTTCCTTCCTCTTTGCTCACAGCTCTTGCATTTCAGTCGCCAATAATGACCAATGTACCTTGACTGTGTGTTTGATCAGTTCCAGATGGAAAATGCTGG